GACCATAAATACAAATTGATAAGCCACCTCGCACCACCAAGTTCATCAAACAAGTAAGCAATCAACGAGATCGAGTACTTATTCTTCAAGGTGAGCTTGTTCAAAGCTCGATAGTCGATGCACATTCGGAATGAGTAATCATGCTTCTTCTGGAATAGAACTGGTACACCAAAGGGTGCCTTTGACGATCGGATATACCCCACATCTAGGAGCTCTTTCAACTGTTTACGAAGTTCCTCTAACTTCGGTGGGGCTATACGGTATGGTGCCTTAGTAGGTGGCTCTGTATTCGACACGAGCTCGATCTTTAGTCTACCTCTCTCTTTGATGGCAAATACTTCGTCAACTCAATTGGCCTCACATCCCTAAACTCTTCCAACACTTTTCCTACTTCATTCGGGACTTTCTCGCTCATTGTGGGCTCAGATCCCACCAATGAAGCTGCAAAGGTGGGTTCCTCCCTGCGCCCCCCCTTTGAGAGTTGGATCGCGAAAAACATCTTGGCATCGACTCCGGACTCTCGACTCACCATAATAATACATTAGTGTTTCAGATCACAAATTACTAGGCAATCGGCAAACGACAAGGGGAATACATTAATCCAATCAATGAAACTAATCTCAATAACAAAATCAAAATCATCGATTGAGATTACCTTTATGGACTCTTTCTCGGTCTATCCTCCAATGCTGAGCTTGATTCCTCTTGCTTCCCCAACAATCGGAACCTCCTTGGAATTGACGGTTTTAATAAACTCATTTTTCTTCTTCATATAAAGATCAAGTTGTTGGAATCTTGTTCAGACAAGAACAACTCTGAGGCACCCGTGTCCACTAGTGCACTCATATTTTGGCCTGCCACGATGATGTCTACATATATAAATCCCTTCTTCTTGCGACCCTTCTTGATCTCCATGGAACTAATGATGGAACCAAGCTTCAAGGTCTCTTTCTCTTCCCCATCATTCTCCTTGATGGCAACAACTTTCACAAGCTGAGGACAATCTCTCTTCATGTGATTTCCTCTACAATTGAAGCACGATAAGTTTCCCTTCTTCTCCCAATGACTGCAGAGCTTTTTAGGTCGATCATTCTACTTCTCTTTACCCCCTGTCGTCTTGTGGAAACCTCATTTGGCCATCTCTCCCCTACCATTACCTTTGGATTTTGGCTTTGGTTTGAGAGAGTCGGTATTCTTCACTTCAAATGGGGCAATAGCCTCAGCTGCATCCAATTCCTTGGAGAGTTCAATCATTCCCCTCATCTAGATCTTCAAGTTGGCCCAACGTTGTAGTCCATCCATAAATGCAAAGAACCCTTCTGACTCGCCCAAGTCGGGAATTTGCATCTTGATCTCAGTGAAGTTCTTGACATACTCGAAGATGGTACGGTCATGTTTTAATTGCTTCAGTTTTGCTCGTGCCTCGAGGAGAGCATTCTTCTGATAGAAATACTCTTTGAGTTCACCCATGAACCTCCCATTTCCCAACCGGAATCACCTTCTCAGAATACCTACGTCGCCACTATAACATTGCAGCATCAGTAAGATAATTTGAAACAATATTTACCTTGGTGGCATCATCCCCAATACCCACGCCTCGAAAGAATTACTATATGCCCTAGATAAAATTCTTCACATCTTGGGCAGTTAAACTCTCCTCAAACTCCTTCGAGTTAGGGACATCGATCTTGGGTCTAGGTGTTTATGCCTCCAATCACCCCATTTAACATGACAACCTTGTAGACAATCAGCTCACTCTTGAACTCCTTCACCTCCTGTATCATTTCGACACTCATGTCCAAGTACATGCTCTCGAGGCCTCTAGTACGCTCATCCACATTCTCTGTCATCTCATCGATAAGTGCTTGAGTTTCTTGGCCAAGTCCTTCCTCCATAGACTCCAACTTCACCAAGAGAGATTCAATCAAATCCTGAGTCTCCTTGACTTCGTTATATCGGTCTTAAAGCCTACTAACCTTTTGCTCAAATGATGCCACGACATCCTTTGAGTTTCCTCGCTTCTTTACCGCAACAGTATGAGTCTCCATCACTTCGGTGGTTGTTGGTACCTCGTCATGTTTTGTTGTGTCATTTCTCGCAAAACTAGCTCTGGTACCACTTGTCACGCTCTTGGAACTTCAACGCCTCAAACGTGCGACCTTAGTCACGTTTTCTATGATTGTGGCTAAGTCAGCATGAAAACAACCTAAGCAAAGATGCTTAGATTCTCAATGGAAGCAAAGAACAAGAGAACTAGCACAAAAGCAAGACAAGAGAACTTTGAGAGAATGCTCTGTGATTTTTCAAAATGAAGAAGTTAGTACAAATGAGGAGGAGAGGCTTTTATTTATAGTGGAAGCTCCCTCAATGAACAACTAAGATCTAAGTACATCGACGGTCTAGATCGAATACAATCTCCTAAATCCCATCAATCAAGGGATTGTGATTACAAAATCTTCTCTTAACTAAGGCATATCGATTTGACACGTATGCTTCACTCAATCATTTCATTTTCATTCCTCATTTTGCCATATATGTATGATATTGGTAAAATCATTTTTTAAAAACAGAAGTACAATCATTCTTTGAGGTGGAACTTAAGTGCAATAATTTGCTCATATTTTTACCAGGTTATTATACTTTTTGAGATAATTAATCACCTATTTTGGATCCTACCTCTTTGTTTCTATTTTTTCATCCTAAAATCATATATATAAGTGATTGATTTATAAACATTTTTTAGAGTGAACAACATAAATACAATATATTTAAATATTTAGATAAAAAATATAATATACTTTAAATATTTATTTTTAAATTAAGTAAAAAATACAATATCAAAAATATTAGATTCAACTGTAAGGATGAATTGGAAAGGGTTTGTGGGGCATTCGACCCTTGAAAATTTAAAATTACCATATATTTTAAAATTTTCTTTATATTTCTTATTAAAAATTTGTTTTTGCTCTTTGAAATTTTATAAATTTATGTCTTCTTAAAATTTTGGAAATTCACCTTTAACATAAAATCATGTGACCATCGCTCGATTGAAGGCGGTTGTTATTAACATGTACCCAAGTTAAATGTCATCCTTTCTCACCAACTTGGGCTCGTTATCATCACACGAAATATCTTTATATGTTTTCTTCACTGGGTTATGAGGATTAGCCCTTGGTGAAAGGAAAAGTGAGAAAAAGGAATGAAGGTCCCATTTTCTTTTCCTTTGGAAAGATAGAATATCCTAAGAGGTTTGATTGAATTGAATATGGTTTTGGATAGGTGTAGAAAAGTGAGGAGCAGCAGAAACGTTAGAAATGATGAAGTTTTTGTTGTTTAGGTGCGAGGTCAAAAACAGGCAAAGTGTTCTGACACTTTATGATGCAAAGGAAGCTTGCAAAAAAGAATGGGCTTGCTTTTTCATTTTTACTTTGCTTGTAATTTCAGGAAGAAGCTCACGCCTCCTTTGCACCACTTTTCCCCAGCCAGCTTTATGGAGGAGAAAAGTTGCATTTGGCCTTGACGATCATTAAAAAGCTTCTTTTGGTATTTCAGTTTTACAACTTAACAGGATTAGGAATCCTTAGAAAAGGTTTGAGTGAATTTGTATTAAATTATTAGTTAAATAATATTTGCTTTCAATGTTGAATAATAATTCACCTTATTTATGTTTCCATTAGCCTTGTTATTAGGTACACGTTATTTATAAATGTGGTAGGAAGCTATCCAATTTATTGTGGTTACTTGTCACAGGTTGATTAGATGTTGAGTAGGACAAAATTATACGATTATTATTGTTATTAGTCACAAATGGATTAGATGTGTTATACGAACAAATCAATTTTTTTAGATTTAACATTTTTTTAATTTTAAAATTTCATATGATATTATAATTTAATAAGTGAAAAAAAAGTAAAGCATACGATAGATTCAAGTATTTTGTATACATGAATCTATATATGTTATTTAAAAAAAAGAAGAATAAATTTTAGGATAAAATACACAAATGGTTCCACATCTATAAAGTGATGTTTTGTTGAGTCTTCTGACTATTAAAAGTTACAAAATGGTCCTTGACTATAGGGCGTTGCTTTTGTTGAGTCCTCTAACTATTAAACGTTATAAAATGATCACTTGACTATTCATATTTTCAATCTCGTTTTTTTTTTCATTAAAAAACTTACCATAATCTAAGTTGGACCTTAACCTGTTGACTAAGATATGATAAAAGCATATCTCAGAATCTCAAATGACTATCATATTCCAGTCAACACATTAACGTCCAACTCAGATGAACATCAATTTTTTAATAGAAAAGGATGAATTTGAAACATATGAATAGTCTGATGATCATTTTGTAACTTTAAACAGTCGAAGAACTCGACAAAGCAACACTCTATAGTCGGAATATCATTTTCATAATTTTGAATAATCGAGGACTCAACAAAGTAGCACCCTATAGTCGAAGGACCATTTATACACTTTACCCTAAATTTTAATAATAAACATTGTTCACAACTTTTTTTTAGTTGTGTGTTGATTATAAAGTGTTATACTAGTATTTGCTCGTTATCTTGTTTAACTATTAGTAACATATATGTACTACGGACTCGTATGCTCAAACTCGAATTTTTAATAAGAATAATAATCTCTTTTAGCACTAAAACCACTTAATAAACCTGTAACTAATCACAGTCAAAGTGGTACAACTAAAATTAACTGTTTTCAGTTTTGTCCGAAAAGTCCTAAAAAGTTGAGAGAGAGACTTCTTTGACATCTATATATAGAAAAATGTCGATAAAACATTATCTTAATGATAAAGAGATTTTATATATGATTAAGAAATATATGGAGATATTTCTTAATCGTTTCTTAAGAAATATATGAAGATACGGATCAATGGAGAGAGCTGACGAGAGAACAGATCAAGAGCATGTTCAACTAATGAGGAGTACGAAAAAGATCAAAACATCAGAGGAGTGGGGAGCAATTTGACAACTGGAATGGACGTGGAGGATCTGTTGAATACCACAATCGATAAGGAGGGTTCGGCGAAGCCTTCCTTTTGCAATATGCTCTTGGACAAAAGTCTAATTAACGGATTCCAAGAATCTGACGAGTTTGGCCCCATTGAGAAGAATGATGGTCTGATAATGGTGGGGAGTAAGGATTCCTGGCCGTCTTTTTTTACCTCGGATAAATTCCGTGCAATTCTAGAGATTAAATGGACCAACTGCTTGATCTTGAAACTCCTTGGGAAATCAATTGGCTTCCGAGCGTTGAATGAACGGATAAGGAAGATGTGGATGCCAAAAGCGGAATACGAATTAATTTATGTTGGAGATGGCTACTTCTTAGCGAACTTCTCTTCTTTGGAAGATCTTAGGTTTGCCCTGGAAGGAGGACTATGGATTATTTATGGCCACTACCTTACTGTCCGAAAGTGGTTTGCTGAGTTTCACCCGTCATCTACCACTATCGACTCCACTGCAGTGTGGGTTCGTTTTCCTGGTCTTCTAGTACAGTACTACAATGACCGTATACTTTTTGCTATGAGAAATACCTTCGGGCGAGCTTTGAAGGTTGATCCGAATACTAGCTACGCTTCTAAAGGCAGGTTTGCTCGTGTTTGTGTAGAAGTCGACTTTGGCAAAGCTCTCGTGCCAAAGATTGAAGTTGTGGACGGTGGTACACAGTTGAATATGAAGGTTTGTCACTAATTTCTTTTCACTGTGGAAGATTTTGTGATAAGGACTGCTCTATTTTGCAAGCAACCATTAGAGAAACCATTGCTTAACTTTTTCTCTTTTTCTCCTTGTAACCAAAAAAACGACAAAGAGTGTTTCAGTGTACAATTAATTAAAAATAAGATAACGATAAAACAAATTAAAAACAAAATAAGAAAGTTACAATTTATTGGTCAAAATTCAAAGCTAGCACTCAGCAGCATTGATGATACCCAATTTCCTTGTCAAGAAATGATACCCAACTTCAAATCTTTTGCGCTTGCTATTTAAACCGTTTGCTCAACGGCTCTAGGTACTGAATGAGGTGCGTGTGATTGATTTAAAAAGCCTGTAGAATAAAATAGATAAAGAATAGAATTTGAGGACGGCTACTTTCTTTTTGTCGTGACTTTTGATGGTTGAAGGATTAGCATGGTTTTCTAAGAAAACAAATAGAATAGAGCTGCCTCGAGAGATTCCATTCAAAATCTACTTAATCATTGGTCCGTGCATTACACTCCCCACAACTGCGAATGCAAACAAAATTTAACGCGACTTGCATTGCATGGAGCAGCTAAAAGCTCGGTCGAAATAGATGCTTTTTTTACTGCAAAAATTCTCTAGGCCCTTTTATCTTTTTATTTTATTTATTCAATTTTTATGAGAATCTTTTTTATCCACTGTCGAGTTTAGAAGATGCCGAGCCGTATCTTTAATCTATATATTAATTAGAGTTATTTTTATTATATAAAATATTTACTTGGGTTTGATTCGGGATTAAGTGATACTAATTTAATTAATTATCTTTTGATAAACAATTAATTAAAGATTTTGATAGTATATAAATCAATTAATATTGTATATAAGTATAATTATGTAGGGATGTTCATGATTGGTTAACCGTATTGTTTAGTCTGAAATATGGGTTAATCGTTATAACGATTATTAAATTGTTTTAATCGCATCCTAGCTATTAATAAACGATTAACTGCTAATGAGTAAGCTTTATTAATGGTTCAATTACAGATTAATCTGTTAATTTTTTTTTTCAATTACAACACAAACATGAAAGTTTTAAAATTTCATAAAATTTACGAATATATATATATATTATGAGGTATATTCATTTTTTCTTCTGCAACTTAAAATCTTACGTACACATTTACGTTTTGTAGTTTAAAATAAAGTATTTTTTTCCATTTATATTTAATTTAATGTGTTTCTATGAAAGATAAACATGAAAATTCAAAAAATAGGAAAGAATCATTTTGATTTTATTTATAGTTTAATTATCTAAAAATATAATTAATTAGTTATAATTTATTAACGGTTAACCAATAGTTAACCATTTATCAAATTTTATTTCCGTAATTGTTAACTAAAATTTTTCGTAATTCAGTTAACTAAAACCATTAAACCTTAATAATTCGATTAATTAATCTATAAAATATAACGATTAAATCGATTAACGGTTATAATTAACAATATCGAATTAATTTGGACGTCCCTATAATTATGTAGTAAATTATGTTATAAGAAAATTCTCCGTCGAAAAACACTTCATTCTTTAGAGGAAAAAAAAAAGCTAAAACAACAAATATTATATATAAGATTTATTTTCTATGTTTTCAATGGATTTTCATATATGTAGTGTGTCTAGCGTACTTTGTTTTTTTTTATAATATTATGGCTTAATAAAAAAATAAGAGTCTAAAAAATGCTTCGAAAAATATTTTAGTGTTAAAAGAATTTTTTTGTTAAAAATAAGTGTCTAAAGTTTTTTCCGTTACACTTTTAGGTGTCTATCGTTAAAAAACATGTTAAGTGATACGTGTCAAGTCCATATTTTTAAAAAAAATAAAATAGTATTTAAAAATATATTTTTTTAAAAATATAGATGTGACACATATCATTTAACGATTTTTTTAACGGTAGACACATAAAAATGTAAAGGATAAAACTTTAGGAACCTATTTTTAGCGAATTTTTTTTAGGCACCAAAAGTTAATTTTAAGTATAGTTTATGTGTTTATTTTTATATTAAGCCTAATTTTTTTGATATTTCATTCACAATCATTGATATAATTATCTATATATATATATATATATATTTGTTGAACTGTAGTTCAATTAATAATTCGAGTATTACAAAATCTATTATGAAATAATATTTTTAATTTATTTTATTTAAATTTAAAATGCCAATATTCAAATATTTAATTTTTTAAATCTAACCTACCATTTTGTTAAAACAACTGATCATTCATAGGTTCTATTTTAATTTCTTTAATTTAAATTCCAAATAATCATACACTAAAAATATTTTTTAAAAGGTTTTATATGTACAATGATCTATTTTATGTAGTTACGAAATTATATATTGAGTCATAATTAATTTTAAATATTTTAAAAAATGGTTATGACACATTATGGAGTTAGTTTTTTTTAAATAATATTAATAATTCTAGGCTTAATGATTACTTTTGTAGTTATTGTAGTAGACTCAATTTATTATTTTCTTTTATGCAAGATTTCTTTATTAATTTGACTATCAGAATTGTTTAATTGTACTATTGTTTAAGGTTCTAAGTTAGAGTTTAAGATTTATGTTTTTGTTTTGTCTACTTTGATTACTAATTTCAAAAAAAGAAAAGAAAAGATATGATCACTTTTGTTTTTATTTAATTAAGATATGGTTATTTTTATTTAAGTAAGATGTGGTCATCACGAGTTAACTGATGTTAACAATTAACGAAATATGTGACGTGATAAATGATATAATCACACATTTGGTCCCTATTATTTACACATTCTCTTAATTTAATCATATTTTTAAATAAATTTCAACATAAAATATATATTTTTAAATGAATATAAAATAAAATATTTTTAAAATAAGTTAATAATAAAATATATTTAATAAGTTAATATAAAAAATATTTTAAATTAATATATATAAAATATTATGAATTTAAATATTTATACACTAAGATACAAAATATATACATCATCTTGTATACCTTAAACCAAACAATGATCTTGACTTAATGGTTGAATACATGTTTAGTTTCCTAAGTGACCAAGGTTTGAATGTTTTTTGCCTCAATTTGCTTTCCATTGTTTTTTTTCAACCAGAGAGTGACACATGCCACTCTTTGATTGGTGAAAAAATATATTAAATTAAAATAAAGTTAGTCCTCTAACCGAACAATGACACTGACATGACATGTGGTATCATTTGATTGGAGGATTAAATTTATTTTAATTTATTAAAAGTAGGACTAAATTAAGTTAAATTTATTAAAAGTATGACTAAATTAAAAGAATATATAAATAACATGGACCAAATGTGAAGTTAACCGTTAATACATTAGTATCATTAGAATAAAAGATGAGAAAATATTTAATATTTATAATATTAAATTTTTTTATCATTAGATACAAAATATTTTTTTAAAAGTAAAATTTATTTATAAAAGGATTATTAACTTTTGCATTTTCCCCTCATAGAAAAGACGGTAGGATAGGTTAGTAGTGAACGGTAACACAGCTTGGCAACAACTGTAACTCTAAAGCATCTTCCTCACTTCAAACCTCTATAAATATCTTTATAGCAAGTTCCTATATGGAGCACAATTCAGTCGCTTTTTCATTTATTAAAACTCTATAGAAGCTACCTTTTTGTTAAAGCAAACCCAGAATTCACGTGCTTCTTGTAAGTATATGCAACGAAATTTATATGATACTATATATAGGATAAACATATTGCTTATGTTTATCATCATCATCATTGTAAATATAGTTTCTGTTTCCTTTTCCTCACTTTATTCATTTTTTTAAAAAAATTTGGGTTTTTTTGTGTGTGTTTCCTGCCTATATAATACTGTTCTGAAGTGTAAATGTAATTCATCTGTGTGAAGGGAAAAAAGGGTATTTTGAGATGGGCAGGTGGAACGAGTATGGTGGGGTATTTTTTAGTTTTGCATTGGCGGCGGTGGTGATGGGGGTGAAAGGGTATCCGGCGGAGGATCTGGTGGTGAAATTACCGGGTCAGCCGCCGGTTGGGTTTAAGCAATATGCTGGGTACGTTGATGTGGATGTCAAAGCCGGGAGAAGCTTGTTCTATTACTTCGTTGAAGCTGAGAAAGACCCTGCCAACAAGCCACTCACTCTCTGGCTCAATGGAGGTTTGCTTGCTAGCTTATTTTACTCTCCTTGAAGCTCGATTCTTAAGCCATTGTTTTTGAAAACTTTTGTTGATTTGTCCACTAAAATTATGTTTTTTACCGTGAAATATGTTGGCATTGTTGACTGTTTTGATCGGGGAGCACTTCCATTCTTTTCTTCTTTCACTGTTTTCTAGCTGTTTTCTAACTGTTTTTTGTTTGCTGTAGATGACTTTATTGTTGTACTTTGGTTCCTTTTACCAATGCTTGGGCATTATTAACTTATTTCCCAAAGAGTATCTTTTGAGATTGCGTTCTTCCAATAGAAACCAACTGCATAATCTAATACCAAAGTTACCCAGATTTATTCATAAATACCAATAATTGATACTCATATTCCACAAATATTCAAACATGGTATAATAATATGATATCCCATAGTATATGAAAAAAACCTCTAAAAAAATATCGAGTATACCCTTATCCGTAGCTTCGAATTTCGGGGCAAGGGAGCCTGCTACTGCTAAAGCTACTGCTACTGCTACATGTCTCATTCATGTTGAGGCTTACAAACCTTCAGCATTATGAATTTATTCATGTTTGAGAGAGATTTATGATATATCGTGGTCCAGCAATTAGGGATGTTTATCTGTTTATAGTCTTACCTTCAAATTCCATTTCAGGGCCAGGGTGTTCCTCCGTTGGTGGGGGTGCTTTTACTGAACTGGGTCCATTTTATCCTAGGGGCGATGGCCGAAGCCTTCGGAGGAATTTAATGTCATGGAATAAAGGTATAAAGCATGTTCATCACATTCAAATGGGATGAATTTCAGTGTTTGATTGCTAATAAGCACAAATGTTGGTCACATTTATGTTTTTCTCACTTTCTTCATTTTCTTATCTTAATAGTGTCAAATCTCCTGTTTGTTGAGTCCCCTGTTGGTGTAGGATGGTCTTACTCAAATACCTCTTCAGATTTAATTCGTGGGGATGCTTCCACTGGTATTTTGATTTCTTCAACTTGTTTTAGGATGATTCCAGCAACAGACTTCACTGATAGATATTGAAATTATCAGTTTTGGAGAGAAAAAAATTTGATCTGAACTCAAAGTTTTCTGTTATTGTCAGCCAAGGATATGTATATTTTCATGATGAAATGGTATGAGAAGTTCCCAGAACTCAAGTCCAGAAAACTGTTTCTTACTGGAGAAAGTTATGCAGGTAAGTTTTTTAGATAATTAATCACCTAATACTAAATCCACGTGCAAGCACATTAGTTATTCATCCGATTTGCGCACGAGTTATTATGAAAATGAACAATAAGAGGAAGCAGTTACATCATACTAGGCATCTCTTTACACCAATTCCCTAATCCTAAGGCAAATCTGCCACTTTGTTTTATCTCAAGAGAAATGTTTACTTTACAAGAAACACTTTGGAAAGTGTCTTCTATGTCAATCCCAACTCGTTTACTATATCAAAATAGAATATTGTTTTACATCTTCATTACATGGTTATACATCTCGTCATACAGGGCATTACATACCACAGTTGGCTGAAGTTCTACTGGACCATAATGCACATTCAACTGGTTTTAAGTTTAACATTGAAGGAGTTGCTGTAAGACAACTTGCACTATCCTATATACTTTTGATAAGAAACATAAAGTTAAACATTCAACTGTGATTTGTTTAAAATTTTTACTTTATTTCTTCTGATTTAGATTGGGAATCCGCTTCTCAGACTTGACAGGGATGTTCCGGCAACATATGAATTCTTCTGGTCACATGGGATGATTTCAGATGAAATCGGCCTTATCATCATGAATGAATGTGATTTCAATGATTATACCTTTGACAGTCCTCATAATGTATCCAGATCCTGCAACAAGGCCATAAGTGAAGCAAATCGCATTGTTGGTGAATATATAAACAGTTATGATGTTATCCTAGATTTTTGTTATCCATCTATAGTGGAACAAGAATTGCGATTGCGGAAAATGGTAATACTTCCTTTCCCTTTGTTTTGGTTAAAAAAAAGGCTACGACTTCTTAAGAATTGTTCCATGAACCAACCGCATTAAACCCAGGATTCTTTTATTCATTCACTTGTACATGAATTCGTTTTGTGATATCCACAGGCCACTAAGATAAGTATTGGAGTTGATGTGTGTATGAACTTGGAGAGGCGTTTCTACCTCAACCTCCCTGAGGTTCAGATGGCACTTCATGCCAATCGCACCAAATTACCTTATCCGTGGAGTATGTGCAGTGGGTAGGCAGATTCACACCATCCTCTTCCATCCTTAGAAATAATGAACTGCAACATGGAAATGACTGCATACCTTGTCTTAACTATGTCCATTTGTTCTTTGTAAAAATAATCCCAAGTTAACTACGACACCCTTGAAAGAATACTGTGTTAGGGAGTTCAGTTATGCATGGATAAGGATTACCACCTGCAACATTTATTCAAAGGATAGTACCTTATTAATCTTATGAACTATGGTATCTTAAGTCAGTGACATGCTTTATATTTTGCTTTTCATGCAAGTCTTGTTTACTCCATGATGATTTTTTTTCTGCACTGAACAGTCAATTAAAGTACACTGACATGGATGGTGACATAAACATCCTTCCTATTCTAAGAAATATCATCCAAAATGGCATTCCTGTCTGGATATTCAGGTAAGACCCCGATTCACTTATCTTATTCAGCATGTAGCGTAGATGCTGTAACATATTAGGATTGCAGTGGGGATCAAGATTCCGTTGTGCCGTTGCTTGGGTCGAGAACACTGGTTCGTGAACTAGCTCATGATTTGAAGTTCAAGATTACAGTCCCATACGGAACATGGTTTCACAAATACCAGGTTTTTAATGCAATGTCAACAACATGTGTAAAGAGTTGTGTTTTTAATGTATGCAACTTTCTGCATTTACTTGGGTCTATATTTTTGGGTTAGGTCGGAGGTTGGGTGACTGAATATGGAAATTTGTTGACCTTTGCCACTGTGAGGGGGGCTGCACATATGGTACCATTTGCACAACCATCAAGAGCCTTGCATCTATTCAGTTCGTTCGTAAATGGTCGACGACTACCGAATACCACAAGAACTCCCCCTTTATGAACCGCACACCGAACAGCAAGAGTGTGATAGAGTTCCAAGTTATTTGATGTCTTAGAATTGGCTCATCTCTGAAAGGTAATAAGGAAATAAGGGTGTCTCCGTAAAAAGAAAAAAAAAAGGTAGCCGAGACAGACAGGATCGTTTGATTGTAGGACTATATCCTTCATCTGATTGAAATGGATGACCAGACTGTGATTCACTTGATGGAGACGATATGTTCTTGGTGTTTAGATTGTGGAAAATGTAATTTGGTTAATGATTGTTTTGTAAATTTTTGAAATACAGTGGGGAGTGAAACAAGATCCTTAAACTTTAGTGACCCATTTGTATAGTTTACCCAAAATGAAATTTAATCCGATTCAATAGAAATATGGCGTCCGCACGGACAATTGAACACGGGAAACTCTGTCGTACGACAACCTTAATATATGACTAAAGAAAGACATTACCGAAAATGTTATTATTTAATGTTTTAGGTAAAAAAAAAATAACATTTTTGGTAGCACATTTCCCTTAGAGATTAGGGAGCTTTCTCCCCTTTTTTGCTTTGTTTCTCTTCGACGGTAACTGTGGGAACTTTTGACTCTGGTAAGTTTTCAACTCGTTTTTACTCGGTCTATGTATTGGATGGTTGATTTGTTCCATTAAGAACTCGAGATGGTTTAGTTGTTTTTTTTGTCTATATTTACTTGAGCATCAGTTTTTTTTTTGAGATTCAAGTTTTGTGTTTGGGAAGTTGTTTTAAAATTTTAACTATAATTTTGTTGGTTTTTTATTCGCTTCGTGAGCTCTTGAGATTTGAGTTCTGATTTTATGATTGGTGGGATTTTAGAGTTAAGTTCTCTGGTGAAAGTTTTCATTTTTTGGGTGTTATTTGTTATTTATCTTATTTTAGAAGGGATTATGCTCAAGCTGATCTGAAAATTCTTGTTCTGTATAGAGGGATGCATGTGAAACTTATTCTAGTTTTGCTTATGGATGAGTGCGACTTTGAAATGCTCAGAATCAAACTCCTTCATGGTCTTCCGTTTTCTTTGGTCTTGGCCTCTTACATTGTAGAACCGGAAACTTTATGCTTAGGCACAGAACTTACTTCACCTTATTTGTGCACAAGATGTGTGATATGACTCACCTTGCATCCAAGTCAGGATAAACCGATAATCGCCTTGTGCCCTACAGCTGCATTGCTAACCGTAGTTATTCAATTGATTCATGTTGTTTTGGATAGTTGTTGCGGTATAGTGAGTGTTTGTTATTGAGTGGTTCTTGAAACATGGTACCGTCTAGGCCTTCTTCCCAGCTTAATAATATAAATATGCTTGGGAATGCGCCATCTTCTCTTCTTGATCAGTCTTTCGGAAATGGAGGTTCGAACTCTCAGCTGTCCAGTCCTGGAACTAGGCAGCATGTAGGAATTGACTCCTGCGCTAAGTCCGATCCACTTTCAAATGTAGTATATGGAATGGGGTTTAATGCTTCCACATCATTGCTTTTGCCATTAAACATTTCTAACACTGGTTCATCTGGTCAAGTTCAAGGTCAGCAATTTCCAAACCTTTCTGGCAACCATGTTTTACCAGATCAGCAGCAATCCAAACAACTTGAGCCACAACATGGTCAACAAGCAATGCAACAGTTCTCTGCCCCCCACGATAGCCATCTAGGGCAGCAGCAACATTTTTAATCTATTAGAGGAGGGTTGGCTGGTGTTGGGGCCATCACATCGGAACCACAAGGGACTAATGATCAGTATGTCCAGCAGCAACAGAAGTTGCAATCACTGCAAAATCTTGCTCCAGTGAAAGTGGAACCACAACAAATCCCACCTATGAGAACTATGGCACAGATAAAAACGGAACCCACCATTCAGATCAATCATTGTTTTTGCATCATCAACAGCAGCAGCAGTTACTGCAGATGTCACGACAGCCCTCACAAGATGCTGCTGCTGCTGCCCAAATTAATCTTTTGAATCGACAAACACTTTTGCAGATAGATACACCAACAACAACTTTTGAAAGCATTGCCTCACCAAAGGACTCAATTATCACAACAGTTCCAGCAGACTTTGCCTTTGAGATTACCTGTGAAACCGGTGTATGAGCCTGGGATGTGTGCTCGGCGTCTGATGTGTTACATGTATCAGCAATGACATAGACCTGATGTAAGATCTCCATGTTGTGAATATCTATTTTCCACATGTAGTCAATGGCTTTGTGGATGTAACTTTCCATTTTTTTCATGTAGGACAACAACATTGAATTTTGGAGGAAATTTGTTGCTGAGTATTTTGCTCCCAATGCCAAAAAGAAGTGGTGTGTTTCAATGTATGGAAATGGACGCCAAACAACTGGTGTTTTCCCTCAGGTCTGTCTCTGAGAAAATCTTGCTGAAACTTCCAACACTGAAGTCTGAACATCTTTCAATTGGCATCTTTTAAAATTGAATGAGGTCTATCATCTTTGGAACTTTGTATCTTTGGTAGTTTGCTATGTCCCCTCATTAATGTTTGTTAAGTGTAGGCTTAAAATGAAATTTCTATTCAGTCTTTTTGGCCTGTGGATGTCATCGGTATCTTTGCCTGTAGAGTGTAGGGTTATTTCTGTTCTTTTTTTTTTTTTGATAAGGGGAGGTCTCAATAGTGAGGTGTGAATGCAAAGGATAATTGAACTCTTGTAAAAACATTACAGGATGTATTGCAGTGTGAAATATGCAATCGGAAGCCAGGTCGTGGTTTTTGGTATGTTATCCCCCCCCCCCACATTTTCCCCCCTTTTTTGTTGTTGTTCATCTGTCTTTAAGGTTATAGTCAATCTACTAGTTTGCCATCTTTCTTTGGGGCTGTGAACGTACTTGATTGTCATCTTAATTTGGCCTACATTAATATGCATTTGCTTCTTCAGGTTAATATATTAATCACTCTTATATATCTAATATGTTTCTACTGTGCTTTTAGAGGAGACTTTCGAGGTTCTCCCTAGGCTTTTTAGAATTAAATATGAGAGTGGTACTTTGGAAGAACTTTTATACATTGATATGCACCGTGAGTATCAGAATCCATCTGGCCAAATTGTGTTGGACTACTCAAAAGCAATACAAGAAAGTGTTTTTGAGCAACTTCGTGTTGTTCGTGATGGTCAGCTTCGGATAGTTTTCTCACCAGATCTGAAGGTTACAAAATGAAGTTATGGTTTTTTACTAACTTTGAAAAATTTGAGGCCTTATTAACTTAGTTCATTTCCCTTTTTTTTTCTTCCCCTTTTCATCATATATGCTCTTGGGAATTTTGTGCTCGACGTCATGAAGAAATCGTCCCTAGAAAATTGTTGATACCTCAGGCTGTGATCAAATATTTTCTCTATTACTTGAAAACGTCTCATATATGCTATTGACTTGGCATAGTATGCCTGAACTGTATAAAACCTATGGAGCCTGGTTGATTTAAATCATATCAAATAGAGCGGTATGAGTGAAACTCTTCATGGCAGCATATATCATTCCGTCATTTTCGTCCTCTCAAAGATAATACAAGTCTCCGTCTCTATGGTGGTTAAAGACTGTTAATGATGTTGTAATCTCTCATTGTTGTTTATTAGGGGTGTAATTGAGCATAGCCTAACCCAAACAATAAGAATCTTGAGCTCGGCTCAGAAATAAACTCAGGTCAAGGTCAATCAAATTCCATTTTAAAAGCTTGAGCTTGATTTGAGATAAAAATTGAACTATTTGAGCTTACTTTATTTGGTTTGTTTACCTAATTAAAACAAGCTCGATTCCCACGCTCAACTATGAACGATGATGCTGGATTTTCATCTTTCTTCTTTCTTATCTTCTCTAAATCAGGTGTAAATCCTTTTTCTCTTTAATATAATCTTTACTGGTTATTTTTTGTTTTGTTTATTACTACTTGTTTGGAGCTTGGGTCTGTCGCTCAATGAACTATTATTTTGGTTCTATTTGGTGGTTGGCTTGGTAACTCTCTCCTTCCTTCCTTTTTACTCTTATAGTGTGCATGCCATATGTGTTCTGCTTACTGATGACCTAGGGATATGTGCTGTATCAATCACAACACATGTATTGATGTTGCCAGTTGTGTTTGTTTGGAAATTCTTTTCATTTGGGTAAAACATTTTCCTGTTTCGTTTGGTATGCAATACACTTCATTTTTGATAGTTGAAAATAGGCATCTGATTTGCAGCTTTGAAAATATAATAATATATACAGTTTGAAACCTCTTTGTTCCTACTTGCTCTTCCTTGAGGACATACTTTTGGTGTTCTTAATTAGATAATCTGCTATGAAGGTGTCTTAGAGGATTCTTATAATGGCGTATAGTTAAGACTTATGACTCGGTACCATTGCTTATAAATATATCTTTCATGGTATGCAAGGGCATGCTACTGGTGCAAACACAGCGTAGGCAACAAAACTTTGGAAATGTTTGTTACTTGGGAACATAAAAAAAATGGATGTGGTTTTAAGGTTTAATTAGATGAGAGAGGACGGTTGTCCTTCTGGATGATTATTGAAACTTTTGCACAGTTATCTGAACTGAAATTGAAATAAAATAGCACAAGAACCTACAATGAGGATCTTAAATTCAGATCTTCAACTTCTAGTGAACCTTAAAATTTCATAATAATAATGTTTGCAATGAAGAAAAGACAACATAGAATGGAAGCAACCGCTTTCTCTTAAATATCATAGATATATGAATTACTTATTTATAATATAATTTTTAGCTTAAATAAGGCTCTAAACCAGTCCAAAGAAAAGCTGTGTACGTCCAAAGTTCTTCTTTGTTCACACATGCCCTTAATCAACATCGTTTTTGCGTGTTTCATAGGATTGAGGATTGTAATTTTTGCTTTGCTTGGTTAAGTGAAAGAAAATTTGAAGGATGGAAAATTGTAGTAGTAGAAAAATAGAAAGATGAAAAATATATTTGTTTTTTCCGTTGATGAGCTTAGATATGGCAATGTGACGGTGCGGATTTTTGCTTGCCCCGACCCGACTTAGTTGAAGCATAACCCGACCCCAGGAATTTTGACAAAAACTCCTATATATATTATTTAAAAACAATTAGAAAATTAGAGAAAAGGGTACTTTACTAAATATATTGGGGCAGACGGAGGCGGGTTTCATTTAAACCTGACCCCAAAAAATTTAACAAAAATACCTGACCCAAAACCCAATTTAAAAAAATGATCCTATCAGATCATGTCAGAATCCGTCTATTTTGGGTTTTTTTGCCATCCCTATATGTGTTTGGTAGGAAAGATGTAAAAATTGAAAGAAAAAGTAATTTTCTTTTGTCGAAAAGATTGTTTTTCTTATTATTCAACA